AAGTACATTCTCATAATCATACAATCAAGTCATGATTCATGGCATTCATCATTCATATATCCTCATTTACAATTAATGTGATCAATAATGCAACATTAGCACACATACATGTATCATAGTGAAGCAAGAACAAACATGCATCACACCATCATAGAATCACAATCATCACATACCTCAAAACATGCTTGAAACCCTAAGAAACTTGATCTTTCCCTTTCCGAATTCATTCCGCATTCTTGGTCTCCAAACAATCAATATATTACGGGAATCAATAAACAACTACTAATTACTCGGATTACTAACAATTCTAACAACCCTAGATCATACCCGTGATCTCAATCTCCCAATTAGGGTTGTTTCCACCATAATTTCCATATCAAAACCCTCCCCCAACGATAATTACCCATTAGATTATGTTCTACGGGTCGAAAAACAGATTCGGGGAGTTAAAATCTTACCTTTAGCCTCAAGAAAGGTGGAAAATTATCAAGAAAAGACCTGGGTTTGTTCCTTAACTCTCAAATTCAAAAATTGCAGAATAAAATATTTTTGGGGTTTATTTATGACTTTAAGTCACGTCTGCCCCGCCACAACAGTCCTCATCCCGCTACAGCGGCCCCGCCCTGGCGGTAGAAATCCCCTCCAAAGCGGCTTGCACGAAACAGTGAGCTATTTTAATAATTCCAATACCCCCATTTCACATCACGCCTTCATTCAACGACACTCAGAAACTACTCGTTCACGCTAAGATCAATTTCGGGAGTTCTACTCACCAGAATTCAATTTCGTAAAGTCGTACGGGTTCCTTAACGACTTTTTATCTACTCATGTAATAAAAATCATAATTAAATCACCCAATTGCTACCATACTTCTCTAGACTTTAATGACTCCGATTTCGTCCAAATCTGGACTAGGTTGAAAAATTCCAAGTTACTACAAAAAAGTTTTCCGACCCAAAATTTTTCTCCGTTGGCTTTTTTATAACGATAGAACCCGATCGTTACATTCACTCATAATTTGACCTTACCTAATGAGGTTCAAAGTTGTTAGAAGAACGATATTGAAAAACACCCATATTTCAGTATTCGAGCCTAGAAAAAGGTCTTTTGATAATGATTAATTGCTTTTGATAATGATTAATTGCTTTTGAATTTTTTTTTGTCAAGGTCGTTGTATACTTTTGTAATTAATGGATTCTGAAGGATTCCAAACGAAATATCAAATCTCATGTATTTAAACATTGGAACTTTTTTTTTAAGGATGAACTGTTGATTCTTCTATTCTCTCAAGGTGGGTTGGACAAAAAAAAAGTAATTCTATGATTGCTTCATCTGCTTTATAGTGGAAACCATTTTAGGATACTCATGCTCCTGATATTTTGAGAATTTTAGTTACAAGAAAAGCTATTGGTGATCCGGAGGAGATTGAAACATTAGAGGCAACATGATATGGATTGACATATTTCAAGTGCGGCATTCGCACCGAGCAGAATATGTGTAAATTCCTAGAAAAAATTTGGAAGTTATATCTTACAACGAAATAGTGCGACAATCAATAGGAGTAGTGGTTTAGTTTGTTGTTGTTGTTTTCGTCGTCTACTGATCAGTCTTTGATTTGTTTGTTTGTTATCTA